CCCCCCCGGACTTACTGACCAGACGCTGCTCTGCAAGCTTCTGGGCTGCATGTCAGATTGGTATTGGCCGATACGACTGGTTAATAATCAGCCATCGGTATTGGCCAAAGAAATCTTTAGCGGTACACCCCTAATTTATTATAAACTAAATTGTTATGCTATCATTGAATCATAGAAAATTAGTGTTGAAAGGGACCTCAGGAGGTCATCTAGTCCAACCCCCTGCTCAAAGCAGGACCAGACCCAACCATATCTTTCCAGACGGGGCTTTGTGGAGCCGAGCCTTAAAAACCTTGAAGAATGGAGATTCCACCATGTCTCTAGGTAACCTGTGCTTCACCACCCTCCTAGTGAGAGAGTTTCTTCTAATAGCCAACCTTAAACTTCTCTTGCTGCAACTTGAAGTGTCACCAGCTATGCTGGTATGAACTCCACTGAAGTAAGTAAAGTCACTCCAGTTTAATATGAACAATAAAATTCAGCATTGTGTCACTATAGTTATTTGCTACTTCTCTTCTGTCTTGTTGCTTATACCATTAAGTTTAGCATTGTTGGCATTTTAGTAATGTTCTTGGCAGAGTGTTTTCAGACTTAGTCATGACTGTTAATTATACTTCACGCTGCCTTGAAAAAAATAGTGTTCTTTCAGTCAAGCCTTAGCATTTTTGCTGTTTTTTCTTTCTTAGTGGCTGGCAGATTATTTTTTTTAATAGCAATATAAATATAGGAGGGCTGTTAACTTTTGTTAGTATAATATTTTTGGAAGGCTAATTAGCTGCAAGCCACCTACAGTGAATCTTATATTACTGAATGGTTATCAAAGATGCAACCCGTAAGTTGGATCAGGACTCTGGAGCCTCGTCATCTGGCCCAAGTTCTGGCCCTGGGTCTTGAGTTGTCCCATGTGGCACATGTGGTGGGCCCCAGATTAGCCCCACATACAGGGCTGGGGATATGCAGTGCCTGCAGGGAGCCAGTGTCCCATTCCCCACCCTGCATGCCAGCTCCACAGCCTGCTTTGGTCTGGAATTGCACCATGTGCAGCACCTGCTGTAGCTGATCCAGATCTGCGCTGTATGTGGTGCCGGTTCCCTGAGTGGCTGGAATGGGCACCGCATCTCAAAGCAGAATGAAAACTCAATAATTACTACATATGTAAAATCTGTAGCCATTTTAAATAAAAAATTAACCCCTAATGACTCTGAGTTAACTATTAGCAAGCAGGCTATTATAGCATCAAAATAAAATTTAACAAAATCCCAAAGTATTACCTGGTGTCCAAAGTTCCTAGTAAAACTAATGAAAGTTTAGGTGTCCCAAGGAGCACAGATTAGATAGTTCTTATTTAGGTGTAGAATTGTTGCATAGAGGCCCATCTGGTGTCAATTTGGATGCACCAGCAGCAGTCCTAGACTCTGGCAGCTAATGGTGGTTATGACGGTGTCAGTTATATTTGATAATTCAGTGGGAGGAGTATTTTGCTAAAATTCTGTATCCTAGACAGTTGCAAGTGGCATAAGCCTTAACAAAATAAGAAAGCTGTGGAGTCCCACCAGTGGCAGCAGCAATGCAAGTTGTAGAGTAGACGGGGCTCACGAGGGGTCACAAATTTTTATCACTGAGCCTGCAAACATGTTCTTTGTGGATGTGAGATTGATATGACTTGCGAATAAGTGTTATGGGTACATCCCATTGTGATATGGGTGAAAGGATGAGTGGAGATATCAGTGGTAGTGTGCAACTGTGAATAGGATGGGAAATATGTATGTGCTGTAGCATAACTGAGAGGGGTAACCAGGGCAGCAATGCCTCCTTTGGAGAGGAGTGCAACAACAGCCTCCAGGGAATATGACTGCCCTGTTACGCCTCTGTGTATGTAGCAAATAGTAATGACAACACCGTTTCATCCTGGTGTAGCTGGTGAATAAGACTGTACAAATGTTCAAATGGACCATGAGTAGTCTTGTGTTTTTACTCTCCCATTAAAAAAAAAACAACTGGGGGAAGCACCGTGCAAATGTTGAGGGGGCTCCGCAGGCAGCCTTTGCTTCTCCCTGCATGCAGCCAAAGACCCAATAAGCTCTGTAGGCTCCTCTGGGTGCCAGAGAGTGCCAAGAACAGCCAAGTGCACCCTGGGTCTCCCTAGAAAATTTCTGCTTCCAAACCTTCCCCCTCCTTTCTTGAGAGAGGAATCCCAGAGCTCTCTTGTCCTCTCTTTTCAGTCGCAGGCATGTCAGGATCTAGGTCTGGGGGCATTGGGGGCATGGATCTGGGAGTCAGGGTCCCAGGAGTGTTGGGGTTTGTGTCTAGTTCATGTGTAGGGGCACAACTGCCTCAGTGTCCTGTGCATCTCTGCAGCTCTGAAGTGCAGAACAGCTCTCGCTTGTGAAAGGGGCTGGGCATCGCTGGCACTGAGGCACTTGAGGTAGTGGTAATGGAGAACAGGGGGGGTTGCGCTATGCACAGCTTCAGCAGTGGAGTTCAGCTGAGTCACAGACTGACTCCTGGGGCCTTGAGGGGGAAAGGGCATGCAATGGAGCTGAGATGCTGGTATCAGAGAAACTGTGAACGTCAGGCTGCATTATGTTTCTAACAGGAGAAACAGTTCTCCTGGGAGAAACTGTAAGTATACTAAGTTGCTGCTAAAGTAGTGAATGTTAATTTTAAAGTAGTTTATGGGGAACATTGTGGTGGGCACTTACAAAAGTGACCTGGGTGAAAGGTTTAGATAAAGCTCTCCTTTGATTATTGCATTACTATAGGAAAACCAATCTATATTCCTGCATCTTGCCAGTAGATGGAGTGTGTGTCATAGTTTTGCTGTTTTTCAACCACATCTCGATAGTCCATTCAAGAAATAATTGCTTTTGAATTTTTCTGTTGCTGTATTCAGTAGTATTGTGTTATATTTGGTAGACTATAGATCAAATGGCATTTTACTTGCATAAAAATCTGCACAGCCTGGAGTGATAGGTGTTCCACATTCCTGTAATTGTCAGGGCAAGGAACAACCCTTGTAGATGTATCTGAGTGCATTATGTGAAGCATTAAAAATAACTCAAAATCCAAATTGTACCAAAAACTTTATTTCACAGCAAGTAAAACAAATAGAGAAAGCACAATACTGATTTTATCCCACCAAATGAAGCCAGGCGTGATATTTGATTTAAACTACATAAAGCTGAAATCAGTCAAAGAAATTGTTGCAGAAAACCTACTTTCAGAATAAAAAACATTTTTGGTGTACTATTCCTTTTTCAGCAGTGGCTTTGGGTGAATTAGTCTTTGTCAGGATTTTCAAATAACCTGAGATCAGAATTGTCTCCTGGATATAGTGGTGGAAGGATAAATCTTTTTAAAAATCTAGATGACATTTTTTTTTTTAAAGCAACTTTAAAAAGAAAAAAAATCCCCGTTTGTTTTTCCTCTTTTCTTACATTTTTTTTTTATTTTCAGTCCCTTCGGTCAATTTGTTTATTCAGTTGCCTTTTCTGTGTTCCTTTTATTTTTGTCATCGTTTCTGAGTGTTTAGTGGATGTTAATGAGCATTGACTGTTGAGCATTTAAGTGGTTTTAAAGCAAATAAAGTGCCTCAGGAAAGAGAAGACTGTCCTATTTTATTTTATTTTTTGACATTTCCTGTATTTAGGACCAAAATCTCTACAGATTTGATGCTGGCGGCTGCTGGCAGCTTAAGTGTCATTCAGAGCTTAAAGGGTAAAGATGGCACTATGGCTAAAATGCTGGTGGCTTTTGATGCCTTGTCACTGTTAGCATTATAGTCCAAGACCTGTTTAACTGGCCTCTTTTCGGTGGAGAGCTAATTAGTTGGGCTCAGCACCAGGTGAACATGGCTGTACTGCCTCCGATTCCAGGAGTCAGCGCATGCCGAGCTACTCGGTTATCTCTGCACCGTGCCGCTTTGCACTGTATGGACATACTCAGAGAGGAGAGGTGTTGTAACCTGAGCTCGAACAATTGGGCTGATCATTCTCTGTACCTAATTTTATGTTAGGAACAGAGGACTTGCCATTTGGATTAGAGCATTGTTTCATCTAGTCCAACAATTCACATTGTTCTATCTAGTCCAAATTCCTCAGTGGCAACCACCAGCTGTTTCAAGGGAAGGAGCAAGAAATCTCAGTTCCCATTGTTGAATTTCCTGTTTTTGAAGGACACTGGCACTACTTCGTAGCCTCTTAGCTAGTGTGTTCTCTTAAGCCCCAAACAATTAGCCTTTTATTTCTTCTAAAGAAAAATCCTTTAAAATAAAACTGTATATACTTTTAATACTCCTGACTAATTCTTTATTAAATATCATTACCTTCTTGATGTCAGCAATATTTGGCTACGCAAATTTCCAGAGTAATTATGACAGTGAAAAATCTTTTCTTCTATTGTGTTTAAATATGGCACCTTTTATATACTTGAATGCTTTTTGATTTTATTCTGAGCAGGCAAATAGAATCTGCTTGTCTGGTTTTTATCTCAGTTGTACACTGTTTTTCCTACCTCTTTCTATATATTTCCATATTCATTTTTTTAACCTCTTCAGTTGCTGTTTACATGGAAGTTTTCTCATGTCTGTGACCACTGTTATTACCAGCCATATTTGCATATATGTGAAACAAGAAAGGAGACTTCTGATGAGAAACATATTT